AAAGTAGAATGGGAGGCAGATCTTTTAGTTATCAGGCTCCTCTCCTGTGGAACCAACTACCAGTTTTAGTCTGTGAGGCAGACACCCTGTCTACTTTTAAGACTAGGCTTAAAACTTTCCTTTTTTGATAAAACTTATACTTAGAGTGGCTCAGGTTATCCTGAGCTCTCTCTGTAGTTATGCTGCTATAGGCTTAGACTGCTGGAGGACATAGGGACCCCTTTTTCCTCATTCTGTCACTATTCTCACATTCTGCAGAATCTGTTAGTTCAATCTCATTCTGCTCTCTCTGCTTTTTCCTCATAGTAGCTTTGCCTCTACTTTTCCTGTTTGAATGTGACTCCATCCTGGAGAGAAATATCAGCTGTGCTGCTGCCATCAACTCCTTTGTTCATAGATGTTCAAGATTAGCCTGTTTTTCAATGTAGTCCTGTTTCTCTGACTGTGACTAACTGGATGTGCTCTCTTTTATCCTCTAACATGGGAGTTGGCTGGGAGCTCATCTGCCTGGCTGTGTGTTTCCTGGACGGGGCCACCTTTTACAGCTGCTTTCTGTATCTCTGTATCTCCTTGATCTCCAGTCGGCCTCAGCAGATGGCCGCTCACACTAAGCCTGGTTCCCCTGAAGGTTTCTTCCTGTTAAAAGGGAGTTTTTCCTCTCCACTTTCGCTACAAGCATGCTTAGTGTGAGGGATTGCCTTTGAGTCAAAGAGTGGATGCAATCAACTGGTTTTCCTTAGATAGAAAACTCTGAATCAATTTGACTGTGTGATCTGGTTGAACTGTAAAGTGCCTTGAGATGACATGTGTTGCGAGTTGGCGATATAGAAATAAACTGAATTGAATTGATTATTTCAATAATCGATTAATCCAATTAATTGTTTGAGCCCTGTTATAAAAGAACAAAGAAATGAGACACTATGTCAAAGATTTTATTCTGAAGAGCGTAGAAAAGTCTAAGGTTAGAATCTCTAAAATGGTTCATAAATCAATGAACTGAACCTCATTCAGATAAAAGCATATTTCTGCCAGCTATCCCTCTGGGATTTCCAGAGCTATAGATATAAAGCTATAAGATTTAATCTCTGAAGAAGAAATCCTCCCATCCAGATTTACCTCTGCAATCTTGTCAGTCTTTGGTGGTGGGGGTGGCTGCTGATGTGGCACTCTCTCCTCACACGCTGTGGCTCCTTCCTGTGCTTCAGCCACCGCTCTCCCATTCGGCTGGGCTTTCTAAGAATATATCCAAAGCATAAGGATGTGAATAAAACCGTTAAAAACTATTAATTGACATCCAGTCGATAATACTCATAACCCACGCATATATATATAGCCTACCCCCCCAGCTAGAGGCTAGCCACAGTGTTAGCCAACTGTCACAGCGGTGTTAGCCTGTCAAACTAGCCTTGCTAACACCGCGGGTTTACCACCATTTACCGACCTTTTCCGCCTTCTTCTTCTTTTTCTTCGGTTCTTCTGCCTTTAGCGGCTTGTTGGCTCCCGGTTTTCCTTCAACACCATCGTCCAGAGTACTGGAAGCGGGGCGCTTCCTGAATATAGTCCGACAGAGCGAGGCCCACAGGGCGATGATCAGCAGCAGCCCGCTGCACGCCGCAAGGAGGATTATCCATGGCGGAATTAGCTCAGGCTTCAGCCCCAGATCCACACCGAATTCGGAATGGAGCCACTGCAGGCCTTTGGTCAGCAGTCCGTTCAGGCGACCGGTGAGCAACCGGAGCTGCTGAGAGGCCGCGTCCTGCCACTGCTCCATCCCTCTTTAATTCACACTACGGACGGATTTTTCACGCTGCACGCGCTCAGCTAGCAGGCGATGCTAGCTAAAAATAACGGAACGGCCCCGACATTATGGCGAACAATGAAACCATCGTTCAGTCGCATCGGTAAAGATAGGTACAATGCTGACGCACCAACCCTCCAACAGAGTGATAGGACAAACTATGAGCTAACTAGCTGGTTAACCAACGGTTATCATTATTGGATGATGTAGCGTTAATCTGGGCAGCCCAATATTTCTAATGTGACCGCGCGTGCAGCGAGTTCACCTCATATGGCTCCGTTATGACTGGAGGAAAAATGTGACGTTCAAGGCGGTATGGAAATTTAACATTCATCTAGTTACAGTTCCTAGCAGTCGGATACCGCTCCCCCAATACGGATTAATGACGTGTCTGATGGTTTCATTATAATTATTTTTTAAAGCTTTAAAAGAGACAAGTCTTAGATTTACGTGGTTGAATCAAAATATTTCTTGTTTCTTAAAATGTTTTGATCGCCTAACCAGATAGTTAAAGAAACCGCCCTAACAGCCCCTGAAAGGGACTCTGAAACCACCTGATTGGCCGAAGCCTGGAATTTTTAGTTTTTTCTTAAGATATGTTCATATATTTTGGGAAATTCTCGCCTATTTTGCATACCCAAATGGAAAAGCAAATAACTTAGTAAGCCCAAATCACATGTATGATATATAATTTGAAAGCAAACACCTTCTAGTTTCTGAATATCTACATGGAATTTGGGTGAGTAAAACAACCCAAGCTGCATCAGTTCGAACATCACTCCAAGTTGTTTTTTTATTCTCGAAAATAAAAGGTCTTTTTTGAACAGCAGTAATAAAGACATCCTTACTTGTTGTGGCTCCTTTGTCATGTTTACATTTTGACAAGCTGCTATATCTTTAATTGTGCTCTGGTGCTCACTATGTCCATAAAATGAACTTGGTTGTTGAATTGTGGAGAATCTAAGCTTTCCAAAGATGTCTAACATGTCTATATTGGTTAACATTTTACCGGTGGAATATTCATGCATTATGATTTATTAGTTTTAAACACTTATAACCAGTACGTTTTAAAGGATATATTAAAAATAGATAATCTTGTGGCATACAAAAAAAATCTAAGTCAGAATCAAATTACATAGGGTGATTAAATCAGGAAAAGATTATCTGAAAGCAAAGTTTAAGTTGTGAAACAAAACAAAAACAAGACAACTTATTTACATCCAAGTTTATTTTGAAATTCCCTACTCCCCCTGTACAAGAAAAAAAAACTTTCCTCAAAGGCAGCAGTGATCTGTCAGAGATAGTACTTTCACAGGGAAGGAAAAAATAATGGTAACCACAGTGCGTATGTTTGTCTTTTAATAATAAGTCTACTGCTGTCATCTTTGGCTAGGATCTTCGGCTGACAGCTTCCTGGCAAACCCAGTTCATGGGAAGCAGAGGTTTAAGCCAATAGAACAGAGCGGTGGGCTTTACATTTTACAATGCCATTGCAGGAATGTTATGGACCTCTTCATTACCACAAAAGAAAAACAGAAAACTATAAAAATCAAAATAAAAAGATGCAGTTTGTGTTCACAACACAAACAAATATTAACTCATGGGGAGACAGAGACCATATGTTCAATCTCTTAAAACTGGACAAAAAAATGAATCTACAAAAATGGAACTAGGTAAATATTAAACAGTAAACCTTCCTTTTTATTCCAACACTTTAACTTGAAACTCTACACAAAACCAAAGTTCTTGGTCTTAATGGCTAGCAGGAGTTTCTGTTTAAGGATCTGTTTTGAGGAGTAGAGTGGCACGTAGAGACGCGAGATGCAGGTATTGGCTGTGGGGAGGTGCTGGTCGTCTGGAGGCCTGATGGTGATGGAGGGCATTGGCTGGAAGCCCTCTTCGCTGGCAGGCAGAGAGGGGCTGGATGTCCAGAAGTACACCTGAGGAGCAACAAATAAGTTATTAAATCAGACTGATTTTCAGACTTTAGGATAACAATAGTTAAGCTTATGTTAATGTGGACTTTGGATATTGCTTGTGAACCGAGAGTCTTTGTGGTAGACATATTGTGTGTCAAGTGTATTTTCTTTTTTCTTTGCTTTTTTCCCCAAATAAGGTAAAAATATGAATCAGTGAAAAATCCACTGCAAAGATCAAACAACACTAAAAATGGGAAAAAGCCAGCTTGACCCAGCTCCAGGGCTATCAAAGCAGCTGAGATGGATGCAATGATCTCATCTAAATCTGCTGCTTTCTGCAGGGCTTCCTCATGCTACAGAAATATATTTAAGCAAATTGGTCCAACTATGAGCTCTTTATCGTCTTTATCCCCATAGAGATAAAGAAATTTCAATCATTTCATTAAGTTTTTCAAATAAAACAGAGAAAATTATCATTTAGTATCTCAGCAAAGAAAATGTAAAGCTCCCACTGAATCCCTAATACATCAGAAAAAGGCAAAGTACCACAATTCAATAAATAAATACCTTATGAAATCATTTTTTTATGCATTAAAAGAGGAAAAAATACACAATTGAATTCAGTTTATTTCTATAGTGGCAATTCACAACATGTCATTTCAAGGCCCTTACTATTCACCAGATCATACAGTGAAATTGATTCAACATTTTTTATCTAAGGAAAACCAGCTGATTGCATTGATTTATTGGCTGGAAGGCAATCCCTCACACTAAGCATGCTTGTAGCGACAGTGGAGAGGAAAAACTCCCTTTTAACAGGAAGAAACCTCCAGCAGAACCAGGCTCAGTCTGAGCGGAAAATGAAAGTAAAATCTGCTAAATAGAAAGTAAAATAAATAAATCATTTAATGATTTAATAAATTCATGTTCCTGCACTGAACCACACCATGCATTAATTTGAACAGATCCATCAAAGTCAAGTAGGCGGGACTAAAGCGACAAACAGAAACCCGGATGTCTGATTTGCTGCTTCTAACTGAGCAAGAAAAGAACTTCGTCCTTTTTTTTTTCTTCTCAAAGTCGATGTTATCACAAGAAAAAGCTGAAATAACTTTAAAAATATGCTGCAAATTATTTACAGCAAATCTAATCTCCATAACCCTACTTTGGTCTGAAATCTATCTAATAAACTTATGAGAGAGCGTGGTGTGGTCACAAACTTCAGCAGAATCACAGTTAGTCCCGCCAAGTGACTGATGGCAGCTCTCAATCCCTCATTAACATTTGAGACCTAATTATGTATATAGAGGCTGAAATCGCTCATCCTATCTGCCGTTAATAATTGGCAACACATTTTAGAAATGTATTTACAACTTTTCAAATGAAATGTTGACATTAGTGTGAAAACCAGTAAGAAACAAAGAATCAGACGTTTCTATAAAGAAGGATCTAGTCCCACCACTTTGCCTTTAATGCAGAGGTCTTCAACAGGGGGTCTGCGACCCCTAGGGGGTCCACAGAGGTACTGCATGGGGGTCGCAAAAGTTTTGGTTGATTAGACTTTTTTTTATATATATATATATATTCCCCCTGCAATTTTTTCCACTAATTGAAATGTCTTTAAATCCACATTAACATGAATTCAACACACTGTAGTAAACAGATAAATGGAGGCAGAAGATGTCTTTCAGTCATCAATGCACACATTCAAAGACACACAGGAGCTCTTTCAAGCTGGGCACAGTTTCATTCACAACACCTGTCCCATCAACCAGGAATCAGAAATACTTTAATAATCCCAGGGCCAAATTACTTTCGTTACATGACTCCATCTGTAATAGAGTGACTATAGGACCAGTTTGATATAAAGAAATTTCATAACATATATAATTAAGGGGTCCCCGCTCCATCTCACCATCAGTTTGAGGGTCCTTGGCCTGGAAAACGTTAAAGACCCCTGCTTTAATGCATATGTGACATTTTAAATTAATCCATGGTGTGTCTTAGCACAGCAACATGAAATAATCCTCACTTCTTAAAATAAATTCTATATATTTAACTGAGGCCCATATAACTAATTATAGATTTATTTAATAAAAATCTGTATTTATTTCCAGTTTTAATAATAATCATTCCTGTATAAACCCTGAATAAGTACATTTTTAACTCCAATTTCCGCGCAAATATATTGCGGTATAATATATCTGACGAAATTGTTTTTATAATTTTTTAAAATTTTTTAAATAAAGCATTTTAAATCCCATGGTAATCACATTTGATGAATTTTAATGCCTATTAAGGCCTTAATTTGAAAATAATAATAATTTAATGACTTAATGATTTTAATGAATAAATAATAATAATTTACCTATTGTATTGTGGCACTTGTCACCCTCCATAGTTGAGCACATTAAAGCTTCTAATCACTTTTCATTTAGAAAACGAAGAACTTACCAGATCCTGCCTCTCGGTCATGCTCATCTTTTCTACTATGGACCAAAACCATCGTTTAAACTGGAGAAGTTTATCTGCGTTTTCCCCTGGAAGATGAAATGGTACAAAAGAAAATGTAAAAGTAGGTAATCAAACGGGAATCAGGTTTACTATGCAGCGCTTTGAGAAATAGACCTGATTCATCGTTGAAAGAAGTGAAGCTGATCAGCATCTGAACGTTGACTTCTCCACAGCCGTTAACCAGCAGCCTGAAGTCTTCGGCCGTCAGGTCCTCCAGGGCGTTTTTAGGAAGAACATCCAGCAAGCCTTTCCTCATCGCCTTCAGAAGGAAAACAAAAACAAACTCAAGTTAAGATTTCGGTAAATGGAACAACCTTAATTAGCTGTCCAACCAAAACATGGATTTCAAAGCTAGCTTTGGTGTTGGGCTTACATGGAGAGGCTGCTCAGCCACCACCAGCATTCGGTGCTCCGCGTATTTCCTCACATACTCGTAGACGTTGTGCGGAGTCACTGGCATGTTGACGCCACCAGACAGAAGCTCGACCTGGACAACACAGAAAGAAAACAATTCATTTAAATGATTGAGAATTTAACAAACAGAATTCATGGATTAAATGTCAGCCATTTTCTGTTTTTACACAAAACATTATTTTCAACTGATAATACATATTTAGACTGAATTGTGATTGATTTTTGCCGCTACCCGACACACTATACTCCTGAAGGAGCACCTGCAGATTTATCAGTGAAATTAAATAAATCCTGAGTATTTGATAGTAAAGAGAAAGAGCTGAAAGTGTTTTTGTAGAGAGAAGTAGATGAGGGAGCTGACAGGGTAGCTGTCAGTAACATCTTTACAATAAAAGGGAGAAGAGAATGGGTTTTTTTTATGTAGAAGGAAAAG